CACAAAAAGTAACATCAACCCCTTCAAGTCATGGAAAAATGTAAGAGAGAGGGAGCTTAGGGGCCATTCCTGGAAACCTGGACAAATGCTTGAACAACTTAAACACTGATACCAAAGAGCTAATATAAAGGCAGCTAAGGTACATCTTCACTCCATTGCAGTCATTTGGCAAGAACAATATAGACTGGCCTCTGAAGCACCTGGTAGGATCCTAAATTCCATGCAGATACTGGGTCAGCAGCTAACAGTAATAGGGTTTGGATGGCCTACTCTGACTACAGCCCACAAAGAACATCACGGGAAAGAACAGGGCAAGGATCTGGAGACACTTCCTAAGGATTCCCCATGACTCTCCTCAAACCAAATATTGTGCATCCACTGGTTGGGCTTTTGTTCTGACATGCAGCAGCTTTTCCAATCTGTCTAGCCTCCTCACCACCCTAGGACCCAGGGTTCTCCAGATCAATTATGTGCTGTGTGAAGATGTACTTCCTTCCACATGGGCGTGACAGCGCAGTACTATTGCCAAGAGCAATAACTGCAATGTTCTTATTTTACATTTGCGCAAGATATTTATATCCAGTTTTCAATATTGTTTAGTTATTTTCTATGGGGAATAGAAAGAATTTCATGGTTTTGGCATCCTCTTGCCTTTTAATGTGACTGTTCCATGTACATTAATCCCGAAATGGTTGCATACATTGCAACTGATTTCACAAAGAGCTCTGTGCTGCTGTTGTTCTCCTACTGCAGCAGAGTCATGCCCACGCTGTAATAGACTTTGTGCAGTGATATATTCAAGATGCTCTTACTGAACTGATTTTTCCCACCCACCATGAAAAAATAAGTACTTTGTTCCAAATACCTGTATGGCAAGCTCCCATCCAAGCCAGGATCTAAATAAACCAGGTTTCATGCCCCAGAAGGATTACAAGTTTAAAACAGACGGTACTGCAGATCACAGGACTGACCACGATGTCTGCTGCTCTACTGGCAACAGAGCAGTGGAGCATAGCAAACGAGGTTTTCTGAATGAAGGGCATGTTTGAGGACTTAGTAATACAGTTTGTTCAAATTTCAGATTTTAATACTACAGGAAGAAAGAAGAAAGTACTAATCCGGGTAACATGAATTAATCATTCTAGTAACATCAGAAAGTTTCTTCTTGACTTTAGGAGATGCTGGATTGGGGTCCTCAAGGGGTTCTGTGACAGCAACCTGGGAGGTGATACACTTGCCGCAAACAGAAGGAGTTACCAATTGAGGCGGCCTTGGACAGAGAAAATAAATACAACATAGACATTAAATGTAAAATAAAACCTTCACATTTTTGCTTTTAATAGCCACTATTTTAAAAGATAAAGCAATGAATATTGAAATAGTTCCATGTTCCTGTACAACCCAGTTTTACTGCCCAGGAGATCATGGGGAACACATCTGTTAACTTGTCGTCAACCTTGTAATTCTTTCCTACGTGCTGTACAGTACCTTGACCCTAGAGTGAACCGCGGATTCTAAATGAACCGATGTAAACCAAACCAATACGAGACAATAAGCATCTGAGTCAAGGAGAGAATCTCAGGTTCAGAATCTGAACACAGGAATCCTCAAACATTTGAGTAGGTCTGCTGAGCCCTTTGCACTTACTCATACAATCAGAAAAACTTGTCAGATTAAGTTTTAAAATATTTCACTTGCAGATAACTACAGCATTTCTTTCTTTTTATATGGATACAACAGTTGCTCTGGACTGGACCGCTCCCTCAGCAAGCACAAATCAGCGCTACGCTCTTTTTAAATTAGCTATAAATCTAGAGCAGTGAGACAGTCTGTGACAGCAGAGAGATCAGGATCTGGATTCTGACAAGTTACATTAATCATGGGTTTAAAATTATCTATTTCCATAACTGATGTGCATTCTAAATCATCTTGAACAATCTCACACATAGACGATGATCCAATCAGCA